AGCTTCCACTGACAGCCTGAAAAGTCACGGCATCCGTGAGCTGCACTGCAATCCTCCTCTGAATGACAGATCCTTGCGCTTCATCCGTCTGCTTTTCATAGAAAAGGACGGGATTTCTGCTTAAACAGGGGTGGGGAACCTGATCAACATAGGGTCACTGTTGGTGCCGGTTTTTGGGATGACCTGTCAATCAGGGATGACCTCCCCCCCCCCGGAACCGCTGCTTATTATGGGCTGATTTAAAGGTCATTCCAAAAAGCCGCACCCACACCGACTCTCTGTGGATCAGGTCCCCGACCCCTGGCTTAAATGTTAATTAATTAGCACAGACAATTAACCCAATCTGACCATTTGGAAGTATAAAAACAAACCTGTCAAAAAAATAAACATTTCCAAACTCTAGACAGATCAGCATTTTTATACCCACCTAACAATTACCCCAGCCCTACTCCATGTTTGCAGTTTTCCTGTGCCAGACAGTAGCGTTTCCATTTACCACATCTTAGTCTCCTCAAATTCTTTCCAGACAGACCATGTCGCAGCTGTTTCCAGAACGCTGCATCACTCTAACGTTAAATACAGCAACTGAACAATCCCAGGCTACATAAACCGTGCACCAAACAGCCAGTCAGCCTTTAGTCGGCGACATCTCTCGAAAAAGGTATTAGCGAAAGGCCGCTTCTTCAGCCTGCATGCAAATAGAGCGTAGCTGAGTAACACGGCCGATCTGTCTTGAAGCCAGCAGGAGACGTGTGAGGCGCTGAAGGACACATGCAGTGTCCGTGGGAGGATGGGGGCCTTCAGGCCCTTATTTTGCAGGCTTATGCAGGATGGAGCTTTTGAGGTTGCAAGTGACAAGCTGAAATGCAGCGGCGAGGAGGGGCCGCGCTAAGGGTACATGCGGAGTCAGTGTTGGCACTCGTGATATGTAGCTGCTTTTATTTGGTTGAGCTTCTATGGCCTATTTTTATTCTGATATTTTTTTGCCAGGGTGCTTGTCTACCCCTGCCTGAAATGTAACAGAAACATTGTATTAGCTGGATTTACCGGGTACCATTCAACGCTTCTCATTTACTCATCCGTAACTCTGGCTTGGTCACTGATTTACTGGATGTGTTTAAGGATTCTGCGGCGTAAATTAATGACACCCAGTGCTGCTGCCAGGTCCATATTATCCACAAAGACTTTCTCTCCCTCACACACGCACACACACTTGGTATGTTTGAGGGAGGACCATCCATCTGACATGCATTAAGTAACCCTACATTTCATTTCTTCATCTGACTCAGCAGGCAGTGTCAAATTTAAGCTGCGGCCGACAAGCTGCAGGTCAGCAGATTTGCAGATTAAATAAACATTCATTTTTATGCAATCATATAGAGTGGGAATCATCCCCTGTGGCCCAATCAGCTCCCCTCCAACCAACAGGCTCAGCAGTCTTGGGGTAGCAGGCTGCTTCTACTCTGCTAAAAAAAGCAGCTTAAGAACCAGCTGATGCTGGTGACTGGTTTTACCTGGTTTAAGATGGTCTAAGATGGTCTTAGCCGGCCATGTCCCAGCTCTTGTTGCTCTTTGATGGTTTAGCTGGGAAGGGTCACCAGTTGGTTGTGCTGGTATATATACCAGCCTATAAAGCTGGTGATTCTGGTATAAACCAGCTAGAATGATCATCATAAACTGGCATGACTAGCTAAACCATCAAGCAATGATTTGAAGACACACCTTAAGCTGTCAACTCGGGGGTCCCCCTTGGTTGATTCTTTTTGCAGAGGTTTTTGCCTCACTTGAGGTATAGCATCTAGCTGTCAAGGAGCCAGCTTTGGTACATGTACTGCTAGGCACTGTGTCTGCTCACTTGCATACGTGACACTGCACAAGACTGCTGTATGGCATTACAGATATGAGCATGAGTGTTTGGTGAGCAGGTATGATGACTGGCCGTCATGAAGTCCAGCTGATATTGTCTTTGATTCATATTAAAGCAAATGTCCACTTGAGTGGAGATTGACCTTGCTGGTGCCACGTTTTCTGGTTTCACTCTAACCAGACCAGCAACTCATTACTGAGTCACTTCAACCAAGATGTACGGAATACCCTGCCAAATAAGCCTGTATCTGTGGGGGATTCCGTATTTGAAAAGCAGACATCTGAACAGTCTTTTGAAACATCAGAGGAAGCCATCTGAACTGGTAAACAGTCCCTCCTGTGAATGAGTCACAGGTTTCTCTTTGGATTTGTTGTTTTTATTCCTACAGAAGGCTTTTCACTTTTATTCTGAACTACCCTCACATCCGTAGTCATTTCCATGCATGCAGTGAATAAATTAAAGGTGTGCTGTTGTATAGGTATGAATATATTTGTACCATCTTGATTTGTTTATATCATACATATTTCTGCGTAATGAGCATATTTCATGATTTTTCTATCTGAGTATTTTTCAATGCCACTAGGCTCCCCCCTCCCCCCGAATCAAGGTACCATGGCAACTGCATCTGTTTCTCACTGGGGATGCACTGAGCACCTGTTCTTGGACGTCGTGTTACCGACATGAGTATGGTGACATGACATGAAAAATGCACAGCTCAAAAACTTTTAAATTGACAGTTTTTAAGTACACAAAGTGTGCACGCGGAATGAAATAAAATAAACAGGAAGGAAATGACAGTGCTGAGGAAAAAAGCTGTTTTTATAGAGTTATAAGTACAAATTTACTTAAATGTAACTGTTCCAAAGTTTTGATTAATGTCACAATAAAGATTAGACCTACATGTATACTTTTGTAAGATTTTACAAAGGTATGTACACCTTACTAAATGGTGCTGTAAGAGGTGGGTATTGGGTGGCCAGATGTGTTTTGTTGGTTCACCTGATTCTTCTTTAGATTACTGTTATAATTACCTTTTTTCTTTCTGAGCCCCACAAATCAACCCTGATGGCTGTTCTGTCACCAAACCCGGATTATCCTCAGAAAGCCCTGAGGGATTCAAGACCAGTTTGAATTCCTCACCACATTGAAATCAGCTCGACTAAAATCTGCATCTGTCACCTGCCTGCATATATAGGTACATAACATCCTGTCCAAGTGTGTCCAAAGAAGTGCTATGTGCCAAGTGCCTTATAAAATCAATTCTTCTTTTCTTTACATTTGCACCCGCCAGCCTTTTTCTGTTCCTTGCATCATTTAATTTAGGCATCCAAAAATTTCTGATGAAACCATCTCTGGCGTCTGAGCCTTATGTCATGTGGTTCTGGGTCCAGAAGGCAAATCTCAGAGTTGCCTGTCCATGTATATTTTGATGATCTTTCTTAGGCATATATTATATTTATGTCTTTAGTAAATAAACTAAATCTAACATACAACCAAAGTTAGGCTATCCATTTTCTGCACACTTACCCTTATCGGGGCTACTCGCTGGATGGGGTTCCAGTCCATCACAGCGCAAATACACACAATCATACACTACAGGCAATTTACAGACACCAATTAGCCTAACTGTCTGTCATTGAAACTGCAAAAGTAGGACCAAGCAATACAGGGAGAATATAGACTTTGCATAAGCAGAGAGGAGGTGGGAGTTGAACCCCAGGGTGCTGGGTGACCATCGAATCCCTGTCTCACCATTTACTTGCAAACGTTTTAGCAAATAGACTAACATCTTGTCTCTGGAACTAGCAGCCTTGTTGGATCATCCTCACCACTCCATGAAACCTGCAAATGTGCATGACCACAACTGCTGGCCGACATCATGCTCGTCCACTCGCTCTCCTTCCAACGTTGGCTTGGCGGCTGGGCTGTGGAGGAGCCTGATTTATTCCATGTCATCCCCAGGGGATTCCCAAGAGCTGCGCTAAGCAATGATGAAAGCACAATTATGTCTAAACGGAGGTCTGTACTGGCACTATCCTCGCCTTTGGTACCAAAACAAACACGAAAATCTTACAAAGAATGATAATTCATTCTAAAATAAGATTTACTTGTTTCGGGCACTTGACAAATGTGGTCTTACCAGCGCCAATGTTGTGGGAGCATGTAGTTTTGACACTGCTGCAGGTGGAGCAGTTGGAGACGAACAATAACTCCAGGGTCATGGATCTATCTAGCACTACCCAGAGAGATGCTCACACACAGGCTGGGGGATGGGAGGCAGGTTAACAAAGGGGCTGCATTTTTTTTCAATTTTGCTGACATTGGGGACAGCATCCCCCCCTAATCCCCCCGCATATCGCCTATTGCCAATAACCCATCCATCCATCCATCCATCCATCCATCCATTTTCTGCACCCACTTGTCCAATTCAGGCCCACCAATAATCTAACACGCAAAGTAAATCTTATGTATCTTACTCTGTCCAATATAATGTTATTCAGTTATATTCCTTAAACAAGTCTATAATTAGAGTGCTCATTTTTAATTAAAAGACTTAAAATTCTCATCAAAGACTCCTTTATGTTGGTGAGAATATTGTGCATGCCTGCCACGACTGGTAGTGTCAGGAAAACAAAGGCTTCCAAGGTACTGAGTACGTGTATTTGTATGCAGCTGGGAGCCTGAAATGTTCCGGAAACCCAGCCGGGGGCGAGCCACAGATGGAGGAAAAGACACCTTGAACCTGAGCAGCAAAACAAGGCCATATTCTGCAACCTTAAGCTAAGCTGACAGCAAACAAATTTGTGAATGAGACGGTAGCCAGGGGATTGTCACAAATCACGCACGGCCCAACAGTGAAGTACTGTGAATAGTACTATGAATTCCGGAACCTTCTCAGTCGTAGGTTAATCATGACAGAAGATAGCTTATGAATAATAAAATAAACAGGAAGGAACAATACGGTGTTGAAATCAAAGTAACCTGGATCATGACCAGGCCTAACACAATGGACAGGACAATCCATAGGGAAATCAGCACTATTTGCTGCTGCATCATGCAAAACATTATTTCATATCCAGTTAAAATGCGCTGTTGAATGACAGACAGGAAATGCCATGTGCCATTTCCTCACCACTTTGAAGTCTTCGGTGCTGCACTTAGCTCCACGATAGCGGCAGGACAAGAGCATGTCCTTGATGTCGTGCCCTGTGCGATCATAGAACTCGCGCATGTTGAATGGACGGGGCTTGAAGTTGAAGAAATCAGCCTTGACCTTCAGCGTCTCCAGTATGTTGTCCTCCACCAGGTGTGTATCCCGAATCTCATACCTGTATGGAGAGTAACACCATTTTATATTCAATTACAAAATGACACATTTAAACGATCACATTTAATTACTAGGTGTTATATGTCTATTTTGGTGTAATGGGAGAATTAAGCTGGATACAAACCAGAAAAAAAATCTTTTATCTTTGAGACAAACCCTAGGAATAATGTGTGTTTCTCTACTTATAAGGATATCAGTGATGTGACTTCAGAATTTTCCCCACAGACCTCAAACTATAATTCAGTCAAGTTTATTATATCATTGTTGGTGTCACCAGTGTGTTTTGTCAAAATGGATATATTTGTGGTTTAATAATTCTTACAGTATTTAAAAAATATGCAGGCATCAACATGACCAGTCACACAGTTCAAGGACTAGAAAATGATAGCTGTTCTTTTATGTCTAGGGCTTGGCAACCACACCTGCAAGGCTATTGATTTTTTGTCTATCGCCTTTTGAGGTTTCGCTGTCTGCCTGGTTTTAAGACCCTTATCACAAGCCACTATAACAACTTGCTAACAGCTGTAATGAAACCAAATGTGTTCGGATACATGTATAATAAATCTAGAGAACGGCAAGTCGCAACCTGACTTATGTCCAACTGCTCACTGAGGACCACAAGTTCTGAAAAGGCAGCCCACATGTCAAATCTGGCCCAAACCTTAATTTCACTGACAAGCGCTGCATGAATTAAAAGCAAATATAAATTATGCAGGCATTCTATGCAGACGATTCATTATGAAACCCTTCTGTGATTCTTTCAGTCCAGTGAATCTCTTGACCCTCAAAATTCATATCTGTGTGAACAGAGTTTTTACATGTGAGAGATATTCACAGGTTGCAGAATTTTTGGTTTACCATTCACTACCCTACATAAATGGTGTAGATCTATTCCTTAAGCAGGTCTGTATTCAGCTGGATTTTGATTAAAAGATATATTTTTTCATGAAAGGACCCTTTATGTGGGGGAGATTATAGCAAGTTACAGAACCTCCATTTTGGCTGGTGGTTTTAAATAAATAAATAAAATTGAATAATTTTAATAATCCTTTTAATAATAATTTAATGATTGAATAATCGGGATCTGAAAGATCACAGACCTGCAGACTGGAGTGAGCCGCAGATGGGAGGCAAAGACCTTGAACCTGAGCTAACATTCAAGGCCCTACTCTGCTGAAGCAATATGCTACGTTGACAGAAAACAGGCACATGGGGAAGGAGCACAGGTCACATACAGTATGGACCAGCAGTGGGAGAAGAGGAGTTAAGCACACATCAGAGTCCAGTTTGTGGGCGAGAACATAACATATAGTAACAATGCAATAATTTAATGGCTCAGAATCAGACCCAATGCAATGAATATGACGATCTAAAGAGGAACTGGCCGCAATACATGAGTGAAACATCATTTGATGTCAAACTGAAGTCAATTTCAAAATAATTTCAACACCCTTAAATACCTCCCCTTAAGCACCAGATGTCCAGAGGATGTTTGTTTTTGGCTAAATCTGGTCAACCCGTCAAGGCCATTATTTTGAACAAAAAGAGTTCTTAAAGTCTTTAGTCCGTCTAATTTGGTCCAAATTTAGCCCAAGATGCACATCTGTTTTGGAACACATATAGCCTAAATACAGTCATGAAAATAAGGTCACATGGTGGGGAATATTTCAATGAAAATGTGCATTGTGTTGTATAGATGGTTGAGCACACAAAATCAGAAAGTCTGATTTTCCAGCCCCCAACTGCCCTGCTGTCGCAGGTCCTTTTTGCCTCTTTTGACATCTCCCACAAACAACAGTGACCAATGCCTATAACTAATGATTTTACAGCATGATTTTACAGTAATGATAATATGGTAATGATAGCAATATTAAAATCATGCGTCCCGTAAGCTCTGTTGCATCCACACTGACTTCTTTTCAATGACCTGAAAAAGACATTTTCACCTTTCAGCCAAATCTCAATGTTTGTGAGACGTCTGGCAAAGCCGTCGTTTCAATATCTTTTCAGATAGTTTTTACTGGGTGGGCTGAATCTAACCAGTACAGTCATATGAGAAAATTAGGACACCCCATTAAATATCTGGTTCTTTATTAAGAAATATCAACATATCAACAAGAAACAAATTCACTTATTTACGAAAAGAAATTAACAAAGATCCTAATTTCCACTGAGGAAAAAGTTAGGACACCCTCACATTCATCACTATTTAAAATTCCTAGAATTAGATACAGGTGCACCACATCAGGGGGAAATGATCAGAACATCGTTACAGAGCTTTTTGGTGGAGCCTGTCTTAGTTAAACCACAGACATTTAGCTTGGTTTGCTCTTGATTGTTGAAATGAGTGGGATCACCATGGTGAGATCCAAAGAGCTCTCTGAGGCCTTCAGAAAAAAAGCTTGCAGATGCACTTGAATCTAGGAAGGATATAAAAAGATCTCAAGAGAGTCTGGAATCAGCCATTCCACTGTCCGGAAAATAATTGGAGAACATTTAAAACAATCGCTGCCCTAGCAAGTTCAGCCCAAGAGCAGACTGCAAGATGCTGAAAGAAGTCTCCAAAAATCCTAAAATGTCATCACGGGTCATACAAGAAGCTCTTGTCTCAAGACACCCTTCAAACATCACACAGCTTAAGGAATTCTGTATTGGAGAGTGGGGAAAACTTTCTGCCAGTTGATGTCAGAGGTTGATGGATGGCAGTGGTGTAAAGTACTTGAGTAAATGGACTTCGTTACTGTACTTAAGTATTTTTTTTGGCTACTTTGTACTTGTACTGAGTATCAAAAATATAAGCAACTTTTACTCTCTACTCCACTACATTTGTGACTGAATATATGTACTCTTTACTCCACTACATTTGAACGGACGCTTACCGTTACTCGCTA